GCATTATTGTACAGTTACTCTTACGCACAAAAGACAAAGATCCCCCGTATAGCCTTAGCAGACTGTTGGGGCAAGTGCTGTTAGCCAGCACCTATGAAGGACGGCGCTGCACACGAGCGGGTGCGTGGCCAGCCCCACGCCGGGCCGCCTTTGTCTCCCCAGTGGCTGAGCCGACCTAGGGGAGGCCCAGGACCGATTCAGATCATCGTCACCGGTGTTGGCCGTGAGCGGCAATCTCGAACTCGGGCCACCGGCTTCGTAGCGCGAGCGCGCTAACCGCTGCACCACCGCTCCCCATGTTACCTGCGTGCAACAGCGGCACGTCCATCAGCTGTCCATTCTGACGAGCTGTATCTGCATGCGTGCAACAGCGGCGGTGGTTTGGAGTGCCACCTGCCCGTAATCGGCGCGGACAGTACGTATTTCAGGCGGGTCTCCGCCTGGGCACTGTTGCGACTCCCTTTGACTCTCTTTAAATATAGCCTTGCCGTGATTTGATCAACGCCATTGTCCCAAGCAGCTGGTTCGCCAGGATGGCACCACTTTGGGTTGTTCAGACAAACGCCTTCATTCGCGTGCTTCTGCGCTCTTTCTCCAGCACATTTGCTTTGTTCAATTCGGAGGTGGCTACCATAGCCGATGGCGCATGCCCATTGATTCATGGGCGCCGTGGTTAAAAGCGTTTGGGCATAGCTGTGTGCCAGAGGCACAGGGGGGCCTCGGTGGGTGTCATGTGCATTTGTGTCCAGACACCACTCCCCACGACCCTTTTTAGCTGTGACTAAGACACCCACAATAAGTTTGGATGAAAAAAATCATGGTACATATGGGTCTGCCGTTTTGTCCGCCTCTGAGAAGGAGTCGTAATTGCCGATGATGCTGATGATGTAAGGGACCGTCCATAAATTACGTCACGCATCTGGGGGGGGGGGGGGTCAGACATTTGTGACGATGTGTGACGAGGAGGGGGGGATGAGAAATGTGACGTCACATCAGAATGCGCAACTTTAAATAAATATAGGCAACACGTTCTACTTAATTAAATAGACTTTTTAATAAATGTTTTCTCCTACAACATCAGAGTGCAGCGTCACATTAAATACGCACTACAATGACAATAGTTTAAAGCGATTTGAAGCATGTTTTATTTTCAAAATGGAAATATGGTTTTAGGGGGGGGGGGCAGAGCTTTTTGACGTCATATTTGAGGGGGGGGGGCTGACTTTTTGTGACGCCGTGTGACGAGGGGGGGGGGGAGTCAAAAATCGTACAAAATCGCGTGACGTCATTTATGGACGGCCCCTAACGACGCAACCTTGAAATGCACAGTGGGGGCACGGAGAAGTAGGTTCAGCTGAGTCCGGAGCCAGTGGTTGCGTCGGTCTAGTGTCGACTTGGTCTACCAAGCTGTTTCATCTCACGCAGGCTGGGTTCAACCATCGCCATAACCGCTGTCCAAAACACTTCTCATTCTGCTGCTTATCCTCTCACGGCTCAGCTCTTTAATTCCCTCCCGTTGTCTGTTGTCTCCAAGTTGAGAGTATTTGGCTGCTAAAAATGTCCACGTGATAAGCCACTTCGTTGAGCTGTAATTGAGCAACAGCTCGTGAGCTCAGAGGGCCTTACCTGGTGAGATAAAAAAAAATATTGTTTCGTTTAGTGAGCACTTATAATAATTTTGCTCGAATTTACCTGATCTCTTACACATCCAGGAGTGCTGTTTGTTTCTGCACACTCGGTGTTATCGACCTTGGGGCCCTATGTTCAGCAAACATAAAAAATAGTAACAGTATCTATAACCAAGTAGGGGGGGGGGGGGAACTTTATGATAATCATTAGAATTTGTTTTATTTATTGAGTGCCTTTTACGCTGGGGTATCTCAGAATTCTTGACATTACATCTCGTCTCAACAATTTGCAAGGGCACCCCTAGCGGCAGCTATCCTTGAAACTCGGCACCTGGCCTGCAAGCGGTCATTGGTCTGCCGGTAGGGGGCGATGATTGTGACGCGTAATCCCAATTGAGGAATTTCTCGGCTCCTATATAATTGACCTGTTTATCCAGGAACGCCATGCTGAGTCGAAGGACTCGTTTTCAGGTGGGGGCCCTGCATTGGGTTTTTATTTTAAGACGTTTTCAGCCAATTAATGACAATGAGTGTTTATTGTACAAGTGGGAGGAAACTGGAGCACCCGGCGAAAACCCACGGGTGCAACGCTCTATCGCCGTGCAGATGGAAACGGATGGCGATGAGTCCACGTGCTGTGCCGCCATCTTCTGGTGAGCCAGGGTTATGGCACGTGGGAAGGAAGTTTCAACAACATTGGTGTGATCTACCAACCCTTGCGTCCACAGTGCTAGATTACAGGCGTGCATGGCCACCACCGCCTGGTTAAATACCTCCTGTAATCACCCAGGAATGTCTGTCCTTAATGTTCGTGACGTCACTCCACATCTAACAGCCCCCCTCATTAATAATTATGAGCAGATGACGTCCCCCAAATTGACACCCCCCCCCCCCCCCCCCCCATTATTATTACCTACTATAATGAGCCAAGAATGTCTGTGTGCAACGCTCGTGACGTCACTCCACGTCGACCAGCTCCCCTCATTAATAATCATGAGCATGTGACGTCACTCCATATGGAGCACCCTCCCTCATTAATAATCATGAGTAGGTGACGTAACTCCACATCGAACAGCGCCCCTCATTCATAATCATTAACAGGTGACGTCCTCCAAATGGACACCCCCCCCCCCCCATTAATAATAATTATCGACTGACGTCACTCCACGAGGGGGGGCCGAGGCGCCTCCTCCCCCCTCCTCGGCGTCAACTTACAACCCTCACTACAAAGGCAGAACCCTCACGTCATCACGCGATCTCCGTCACGCTGTTGAGACATCAAAGTAAAAAGGACGTCATGATGAACAAGGGATTATAACCTTTAAATGAAATAGGTTTGTGTCACCGCGCCCTTACAAATTGCACACGCATTTATGCAATGAATATCACGTCGAGGTCTGCTTTTCGCTTGCAAGTTTTAGATTTACTGCAATACACCCGTCCTTGGACGGGCAAAAGGCTAGTTTAAACATTAACAAGCTATGGGAACCATTTGCGACTAGGACAGCCCCCAACTTCCAAGTGTGTGGCTGTGCCCCTGCGTGGCGGCGTGCTTGTGCGTGCCTGTACGTGCGTTGCCCACCACTCCAGCACCCGCCACTGTCAGGGTATTAATAGGAATTCGCTATTAAAGGGTGTCCCAGCCATGCCTGGCTTGGAGCTCACTGTATGACGGACTCGTTCTCTCTTTAGCTCTTTGCTGTGCGCGTGTATGTATGTGTGTGTGCGTGTGTGTGCGCTGAGCTGTGGTGCAGGGATTCGTGCACTGCACTGCAAACTCAAGTGGCCTTGGGTTCGATACCTATCCATGTGTATCATCAGTGGTGCTTCTTTTATGAACAGCCTGTACCAGACCTCACCTAGGCTACGTACGAGTGTGCGGCCCTTTTGTCAGTCCGCTGGTGAGTGAGGGCTTCGACCCCAACGGCGTACGAGTCATGGGTGGTTATTTAGCCATTATCACCTGATCATCATCACCTGATGATGATTGCTTGTGTTGCAGTCGAAAGGTCGTGAGAATTTTATTGGTTTATATTTTTATTATTTTATTGTTTCCCTTCTACGTGACTTTACCGAAAGAACCAAGAATATGAATCCCTGCAGTCACGAAAGCTTTAAATCAATATTTATCCATACTTCACCACGCTGGTCAATGCGAGTTGGTGAAGGTGGCGAACATAGACGTGGGAACATAGATATACAGTATAATATTTTTTTTGTTGCACTGCCTGTAACGACGAGGTTAATGCATGATGGTGGTTACCTATCCAAGTATTATCCAGGATTAAATTTGCTTAGCTTTTCCAGATGCAATGAGATTGGCTGCATTCTAGGTGGTCATAGGCCCCCTAAGTTCACTGTGGCATAAAAAATATCAGCACTAGGGATATACACAGGTGGGACTTAATGAGTGCTTGTTAACACCACTTCCCTCGACAGATTGCACTTCTGAATGCGAGATATTTGTATTCAGGGTTAGTGTGAGAATTGAAAAGTGGCGCATTGCGCTACAATATCACCATCCCGGGTTCAATCGTTCACCTTTACACCGGCGGCAATTGGTATCTGAACCTGGCCTGGGCAACCCCTAGGTCAACTCAGCCCTTTAATGATTACACTCGGATGTAGCTCCCAACTTGAGCACCAAACAGATGTATGCAAACGTGGTGGAGGGGGAGAGTATGGTGCTGTTCTCACCATCTTTTTGTAAACTCGGCATTGGTTGTAGGGCCTTTGTGAACGCACACCTGGATGAAGGCCTCCCCGTGCCGTGTTAGTCGTGGGGTTTGTTTCACCGTCCTTGCCTACTGCTGGCCAGCGTGGGTCTGTGTGAAGGAGGGAGGCCCAGGATCGGTTCGGATGTCACTCGCCACTGACGTTAGCCGTGGCCGGGGACTCCCAACTCGTGTCGCCGGGTTCGTAGCGCGGTGCTCTGCCCGCTTCGCCACCGCTCGTAGCCAGCAACAGCTCATCCTGCCCAAACAGGCGGCCGTGGTCTTGGGTGTCTCCGTGTGCGCGTGTGTAACCGTGGGGGGCAGCAGCGTTGCAATTAGCGCGCTCCCTTACAAACCCTGTGACCTGCGTTCGATTCCTGCTCACGGCCAATGCCAGTGACGATTACGTGAACCGGTCTTGGGCCTCCCTGAGGTCAAGTTGGTGCGGTGTGTAAACATCGCTACTGGGGAGACGAAGCTGGCTGGGACGTGATGCCGGCCACCCACCCCCTCGTGTGCCGTGCCTGGCTTCATAGGTGCTCGCTAACAGCACTTGTCCCAACAGCCTGTCAAGGCTCTATGGGGGAATGTTGTCTTTGATGCCTGTTAAGGCGATAATGAGGGATCTCTGTCTCTCTGTGTGTGACTGTGCGCACAGGTTGGAGCAGCATGGCACTCATGCCTCCTACGGGGTGACTTCTCCCTCCTCGAGGTGGCTTCTGTCCCCCTTGAGCTGCGTTAACGTTGAGGTTCGCATTAAAAACCGTGCGCAGGGAGGAGGACGAAGGTGTGTATCTTTCTCTTTGGACCTATGCATGGTGTGCGTACAGAATTCGTTTTTCTTTTTTTAACACTCAACTTGCTGCGACGTGTTTCCTCCTCACCTTCGCCAACCCGCACTAATCAGCATTGGTGAAGTATGGCAAAATGACCCCACAATACCCGTACGTTGTGAGAAGGCCCTCATTGACTGTTAAGGCTCGGGGCACCTGAATCAAATTGATGATTATCAATTCATGAAAATTGTTTGCAAACAGGCTAATCGAGTAAACAATACAAACGAGATGGTAAGAGGTAAAAAAGTTTGTAAAAAAAAACAACAACCATTTATTGCATCGAATAGTGACTTTTAACTTTGACAATTCATCGAATAACGGGGGAGGCGAATCATCACATTTAATATGCTGTTGTATGTGAATGCATATTCGCGTCTGCGCATTGCACTTGTGTGCTTATGTGTGTGTTTGTAGGGGAGCGGTAGTGCAGTGGTTAGGACGCCGTGCTATGAACCCGGCGACCCGAGTTCGGTTCCCGCGCAGTGCCAACACCAGTGACGATTATCTGAACCGGTCCTGGGCCTCCCCTAGATCGACTCAGCCACTAATGAGTACCTGGTACGATGTGTAAACATCGCCACTGGGGAGATAAAGGCGGCTGGGGCGTGGTGCTGGCCTGCCCACTCCTCCGTGTGCCATGCCTGCCTTCATAGGTGCTACTCGCAAACAGCAGTTGCGCCAAGAGTCTGTTAAGGTTATACGGGGGGATCTTTGTCTCTGGAGAGACGCACAGCAGTGGTCAGTACACACCGCTCCACCGTCGCAGCGGCCCAAATGCAATTCCTGGCGACGCATAACGGTGCCGCCAGAACTTGGCTTGGGTCTCCCCCAAATCCACTCTGCCTGGAGCGCCGTGTCGAAATCACCGCCGCTGGCGAGACAAAAACGGCTCTGCGCGTTGCTAAATCCACCACCTGTTAATCTGCCCTGCCGGCCATAATAGGTGCTCACTAACAGCACTTTCTCCTACGGTGCGATGCAGGCTAAAAATGGGATCCTTCGTCTTTATTCGTGCGCCCTGTATGTGCTAATGTTAATTAAGCTTGCGTGCGTGTGCTTGTTAAGCCCCAATCCCCAGGAGGAATTTCCATTCTGAGAGCGACCACCACCACCACCAGCACCGCCAGCACCGCCAGCACCGCCAGCACCGCCAGCACCGCCCCCCCCCCACCGCCACTCAAGATGGGGCCGTCGCTCAGATACGACGCCGACGCGCCATCGTCCAGGCTGGCGGAATTTTCACCGGCGCCGCTTCTGCTGACGCTGACGCCGCCGCCGCTGCCACCGACCTCGTCTGACCTTGCCTGACCTCGAGGTCGACCCTCGTCAGGTCGACCGGCAGATCCGCTGCACCCCACCCACCCCTCTCCCGCCCACTGCCACGGCAGCCGCTACCAACTGCCGCCCGCATCCAGCCGCCCTCTCTTTCTACCCCCCCCCCCTTATTTTTTTCTGCCGTCTGCCGCCACCTACTGTCGCGCCTCTCTCTACTTCCGCCGCCGCGTCGCTCACCTGATCGTGTTCCGCCGCGACGGCACGGCCGAAGCCGGTTCCTGCGATCGACGGCTGCTGGGGCGCCATGGTCGGAGGGAAGGTGGTGGGGCCCCGGCCGATGGAGGCCGACGCCCTGGCGGCCGTACTGCGGCGGCGCGACTCGCGCTCGACGCTCATCGTCGACAGTCGTCCCTTCGTGGAGTTCGCCTCGTCGCACATCGTCGGCGCCGTCAACGTGGGCAGCTCGACGCTCGTGAAGCGCCGCCTGCAGCAGGACCGCGTGAGCGTGCGGGAGCTGGTTCAGCACGCGGCGCAGGTGGGCGAGCGAGCACGTGACTCGTTGCTGTACGAGTGTGCGCACGCACGTTCAACTTCTTTCGCACCACCGCCGTACGTAGCCAACCGTGCCGATCGGAGGTGGGATGGAAGGACAACAAACTTAACGCAAAGAGCGGTTCTAAGGAAGTTAGTTTTCAATCTCGATTATTTAAAAGCGCATAGCTCCAGTGGCTTCCTAATATTGGAAGGGAAAGCGGTTCCAGACGGCCGCAGAAGCGCATCTTTAAGCGCGCGATGCGGTGACCGTCTTTGTTCGACGGCCAGCCAAAAAGCGGCTGGGAGGAAGACCAGAACGCACGCAATGGTGAGTTGTTTCTCACCCCGCGGCACGTAACTCACGGGTGATCGTCTAAGTTGAGCTTCCCAAAAGCTCTCCAACCAGCTGTCACCCTCCTCTTTATTTTAGCTTTTTGATTCCATTGCAATCATTGCCCGAGGTATACATATTCAGTTTTTCTCCCCATGTGGGTTCCCGGAAGAGATACCTTCAGATGTTTAGAGACCATGGTGTAATTATCTTGACCCCAACCTTACGGCCCTATGTATTAAGTACTCCGGTTGTCGTGAGGTGTCATGTTTTCCAGTTTTTATCCAGTGTATGTAACCCACTGGAGTATTATGCATTCACGTAGAAGTCCCTTCTACGTGACTTTGCCGAAAGAACCAAGAATATGAATCCCTGCAGTCACGAAAGCTTTAAATCAAAATGTATTATGCGTTCGCCAAATTAAAACGTTCAATATTTCCGAGGACAAGAGGATGTTGGAATCCATGCGTATGCATGCCTGATTTTTCTCGCACGCACGTCGCTTTTCTCTCTGAATTGATCCCCGACCGAGCTATTGGCATCGCGTCTTGGGACAAAGCATCCAGTCGGATCTCTTTGCAGAGTAGCGCGAGATCTTTTTCGTGTTGGAAAACTGTCCACAGGAGCGGATACCACGGATAGTTTGAGATGCATGATGCACGCGTGCATGAGAGAACGCGAGCAAGTTCGAGACAGCGGATTGACTCTTGAGAAAAATAAGCGGGCTTGAGCAGGACACGTTGCTAGAAAGGATCGTGGCCAGAGGTCAAGACTGACGTTGGAATGGCAGCCAAAGGAGGAATCCGCGCTTGAAAGGACATTTACTGGAGGACACGAAGCAGTCAAATCAGTTCTTGTGTGGGTGCCAAATGGATTTCTACATCGCAGGATCATGAGTGTTGGCAGTCAGTTGGGGAGGCCTTCATCCAGCAGTGGATTGATCATGGCTGCCACTGCTCCTGTGGCATCACGCTCAAATTCATTCTCTAAAAGTTTAGTTGAAATTGCCGTTGGCGCTCGACTCGGCTTATCAACCATATGGGGGCTGATCAGCCTTGAGTACCACTTCGTGGGAATTTAAGATTGCAGGTGCTTGTGTGCGTGTTGTTAGTGTGCTGCGCCACAAACCTGGCGACCGTGGTTCGATTCCCGCTCACAGCCAACACCAATGGGCCTCCCCTAGGTCGAAACAGCTTTAAATGAGTACCTGGTGCAGTGTGTAAATATCGCTACGAGGAAGACGAAGGCGGTCGAGCGTGATGCTGGCCACCCACCCCCTCGTGTGCCGTTCCAGCCTCCATAGGTGCTCGCAAACAGCACTTGCCCCAACAGTCCGTTAAGGCTATACGGGGAGAGGATATTTGTATTTGCGTTGTGTAAGTAAGAGCGTGCATGTCGGGAGTGTCTCCATTGTGTTCACGTGGGTGCCGCGTCTTGCTTTCCTTCCTCATTACTTCACTTTAATAATATCCCAATGACGCAAGTCGCCTGACATCACGCACGCGCGAGCACGCACCCAAGTCGCCGCTCGATGCTGGTCAGACCGGCATCTCCTGCCCCCACCCACCCACGACACTGGTCGCGGGTGGACGGGGCAGGGTTTTTACGAGCGAAGAGGAGAGCCTCCCAGGGAGGTGTTGGTTGGCTCGAGGCGCTCATGTTCTTCCCCGTTAAAACTGCTGAGCCAGCGGTAGCACTCAACGCGTCGTCACCACCACCAGCAGCAGCTGTGTCCTCGTTTTCCTGGAATCGTCTCCTTCTTCGAGGTAGCCGCTGTCCTGGGAAACTCACAATGTTTTTGTTCCAAGTTGCGCAACAGTGCACCGGTCGAGACAATGCGTTCACGTACGTACGTACGTTGGACCTCTTTTGCGCCGCACGTAGCCAACCGTGCTCATCGGAGGTGCGATTGTGGTCTCGGCTTTGTCACCGACGTGGTGAGGTATGGTGAAATAACCTCCCACGATCGATATCGCGTGGGAGGCCTTCGTCTAGCAGTGGATTGACCAAGTAAGCAATTTCACCATTTTTTAGCGAATCCTGGAAAACCCAGATCTGGGAATTGCCATTGCTTCCTCAAATAAAACATGGGCCACGTGCCACTTGACTGCCACACTGTGCGTATGAAGGGGTTGGAAATGGATCTGGAAAAGTAAATTTTCGAGGTGTGTGGGTAGCCCATAGGTTTGGATGCTCAGCTGACACTGCTAAAGTCGTGGATTGAAATACAGGCAACCACCTGTGATTAAGGCAGTTTTCAAGTGTAGAAAGGATATGGTCTTAGCCTGGTCACCCGCGTTCCATTCTTGGAATATGAGCAGGAGTTACATGCCAATGTTGAGGTCTGCTAGCCATGAGTAGGTCTTCGGGAGAGAGTTCTTGAAGTTTTGCTTTTTCTCCTCTGAATGAGCGCAGACCACAGTGGTTTACCACGTGGCAACAGGTTTCGGTTGTGTGGCCACAGTCGCACCGTGGTTTTGTCTCTCATTTCCCATCCTCCAATAGGAAGCATCCAACAGATGGATGCTTCCTATTGACACGATAGCCCGTGCGAATGAACGTACGTGTTTGCGGGGGCGCAGGTGGACACGACGGAGTGCCGCAGCGTGGTGGTGTACGACCAGAGCACGCGCGACGTGCGCCGGCTCGCTCCCGACCACTTCGTGTGCGTGCTGCTCGCCAAGCTGGAGCGAACCTTCCCCGGCGTCGCCCTGCTCACGGGTAACGCACGCAAGCGCGCACGCAGCCACGCACGCACGCACGCGTTCACGCGCGTTTCGTAGGTGCTCACTAACGGCACTTGCCCCCGACAGTCCCGGTTCAAGGCTACACGGGGGGGATCTCACGCGTTTACACAAAGTGAGTGCATGTGTAATGACAGGGTGACACCTGCTGGCCTGGAAGGGGAATCACGGGTAGTGGCACAGTTAAGTAACAACTGATGATCAGAGAGGGAGGTGCATCTGGGGCAAAGGTGACAGGTGGGGCTGGCCGAGATACTCCGGGAACCTGCTCGAAGTTTCCACGAGAGGGCGTGGCCGGAGGCGGGGCTTAGCCACGCCCGGGGGGATATAAGGGGGAGCGGACCGGGGGCTCGGGGCTCGTGTGTGGGGTCCTGGGTGCGTCGCTGCTCGCCGACATCTCTCTCCGTCCACCGGCCACGAGCTGAGATTAGGAGAACACTCTTAAAGGGAGTGCTTCTAATCTCAGCTTGTTACCTGTATAAAATACACCTGTCCACAGAAGCAATCAATCAATCAGATTCCAAACTCTCCACCGTGGCCAAGACCAAAGAGCTCTCCAAGGATGTCAGGGACAAGATTGTAGACCTACACAAGGCTGGAATGGGCTACAAGACCATTGCCAAGCAGCTTGGTGAGAAGGTAACAACAGTTGGTGCGATTATTCGCACATGGAAGAAACACAAAAGAACTGTCAATCTCCCTCGGACTGGGGCTCCATGCAAGATCTTACCTCGTAGAGTTGCAATGATCATGAGAACGGTGAGGAATCAGCCCAGAACTACACGGGAGGATCTTGTCAATGATCTCAAGGCAGCTGGGACCATAGTCACCAAGAAAACAATTGGTAACACACTATGCCGTGAAGGACTGAAATCCTGCAGCACCCGCAAGGTCCCCCTGCTCAAGAAAGCACATATACATGCCCGTCTGAAGTTTGCCAATGAACATCTGAATGATTCAGAGGACAACTGGGTGAAAGTGTTGTGGTCAGATTATACCAAAATGGAGCTCTTTGGCATCAACTCAACTCGCCGTGTTTGGAGGAGGAGGAATGCTGCCTAGACCCCAAGAACACCATCGCCACCGTCAAACATGGAGGTGGAAACATTATGCTTTGGGGGTGTTTTTCTGCTAAGGGGACAGGACAACTTCACCGCATCAAAGGGACGATGGACGGGGCCATGTACCGTCAAATCTTGGTGAGAACCTCCTTCCCTCAGCCAGGGCATTGAAAATGGGTCGTGGATGGGTATTCCAGCATGACAATGACCCAAAACACACGGCCAAGGCAACAAAAGAGTGGCTCAAGAAGAAGCACATTAAGGTCCTAGAGTGGCCTAGCCAGTCTCCAGACCTTAATCCCATAGAAAATCTATGGAGGGAGCTGAAGGTTCGAGTTGCCAAACGTCAGCCTCGAAACCTTAATGACTTGGAGAAGATCTGCAAAGAGGAGTGGGACAAAATCCCTCCTGAGATGTGTGCAAACCTGGTGGCCAACTACAGGAAACGTCTGACCTCTGTGATTGCCAACAAGGGTTTTGCCACCAAGTACTAAGTCATGTTTTGCAGATGGGTCAAATACTTATTTCCCTTATTAAAATGCTAATCAATTTATAACATTTTTGACATGCGTTTTTCTGGATTTTTTTATTGTTATTCTGTCTCTCACTGTTCAGATAAACCTACCATTAAAATTATAGACTGATCATTTCTTTGTCAGTGGGCAAACGTACAAAATCAGCAGGGGATCAGATACTTTTTTCCCTCACTGTAAGTGTTGGCCTGTGTTGTGCCCAGTGTGAGTGATAAAGAAGGAAGTACCCTCTACACGACGTGTCGCGTAAGTCGCTCATTGCACATGTGAACGTAGCCTCAACAGACTGCTGGGGCAAGTGCTGTTAGCGAGCGCCTATGAAAGCCGGCACGGCACACAGGCGGGTGGGGTAGCCAACGCCACGCCTGGCCACCTCTGTCTCCGCAGTGCTGATGTTTACACACCGCACCAAGTGCTCACTTAAGGCTAATTAGACCTAGGGGAGGCCCAGCAGCGGTTCAGATATTCTTTGCTGATGTCGGCCATGAGCGTGAATCGAACTCGGGTAGCTGAGTTCATAGAGCAGTAAGCTAACCAGGTTGTGTTACAATATTTTGAGGTCTTGGCACGCGCGCGCACACCCGTGCGTGTGTGTATGTGTGTGCAGTCTCATCGCGTTATTTCGCTTGCCACTGTTGTGGCGATGGAGGGGGACGGCAGTAGTGGGGAGAGAGAAAGGGTTGCCCAAGGGACGATGGTTGCCAGGCAGTGACCCCACAGGTACCGTGTTTACCAGTTTGGCTCACCAGACCATTGGTTCAGATGCTCTCTGTCGAGCCACTTTGTACAGAGCCAACAGTCCGATGTTTCCAATTTCCATGGATCGTTCTTAACAAAGTGCATTGTCTGCGAATTACAGCTATCATCAACATCAGTAGACATGTTCTATCTGCTGCTTGATGAAATCTCCCCATGCCACGGTGCCGGTCAGGCTATCCCATTGGCGATTATGTCATGATAACTCCAGAAAAACAGAGCTAGAGCGACGAAATTTACGGGTTACAGAGTCGTCACTGGGAAAAGAACAACATCTCAGTAGAATTTTGATTTAAAGCTTTCGTGACTGCAGTGATTCATATTCTTGGTTCTTTCGGCAAAGTCACGTTGAAGGGAAACAATAAAATAATAAAATATATATAAAACAATAACATTTTCACGACGTTTCAACTGCAACACAAGCAGTCATCATCATGTGTGAAAACCAATTCACACCTGATGATGACTGCTTGTGTTGCAGTCGAAACGTCGTGAGAATTTTATTGTTTTATACATATTTTTATTATTTTATTGTTTCCCTTCAACGTGACTTTACCGAAAGAACCAAGAATATAACGTCTCAGTAGCCACGTGAGTGGGGAAGCGATCAGGGAGCCCTCTGCCCAGCGGTGGGTAGATACGGGGACCGATTCAAACTCGTGCAACTTGGCATCCTCTCTGGATCTCTACCAGGCGCCGAGAAATCGGCCCGCATAGTCGCTGGCCGGTCGAAGTTTCTCGTGTCAGCCTCGGTCGCTATCCGCTTTCTGGATGCCCTTCCCCGCTGCCGGTCTTCTTCATCTCTGGCTTGTTGTTGTCGTCGTCGTGGTCGTCGTTGTGTTCAACAGCCACGGCTTGGCCGTCCGCGACGGACACCACGTCACTCGGCGTCCCCGCTGAGCGCTGGTGTTTCCTGACAGCCCAGTGCGTGTACACGTGCGGCCCTTTGTCAATATTCATTGCTGGCTGAAGGACCTTCTAACACCCATGTGGGTTGTGGTGTGGGCAGGGGGGGGCTCCTTCAGGTGGTTGGGTGTGGGTGGGCAAAGGCGAGGAGCATACATGTAATAGCATGTAAGTATCGTATAACAATGGATTTACTGCAGTCAGCTGCCCACCACGTAGCCCGCTACACGCGTACCATTTTTCTTTCCGTGCGTGTCGCCCACAGAACCCTTGGACGTATGTATGCATGTTGAACTTCTTTTGCGCTGTACGTCAACCAACCGTACAAATCGGAGGCTCGGGAAAAGGACAACAAACGAGACGACACTGGAACGTGCAATGTGACTTCCCGTGAATGTGTTTGCTGAAAGCAGCACTTTGTCTGACAAGCCTGACACTGCTGATGAGAGCCAGAAGGTCAAAACGGGTCCAGAGCTTGCTTGTTGATACAAATACTGCTTGCTCATATTGCCCTCGAAAGAAATCGACTGCTATACCATTTGTATGCGGAGATACAGAAAAGGCTTCTGCTGACACGTGCTGTCCTTCGTGATAGTCAAAGGGGTGGGCAGTTGGCGCTGAGGCTGGACACGATGACATAGTTGTCACTGATTGGCCTGTTGATTACAATGTGCCAGGCAAAGCCATGCCCTTTTTATTACCCGCTTTTATTGAACTCACTCTGTCCGTTGTTGTCATTGTTGTACCCTCAAATCTTGTAACTCAATTTTAACCCACTTCCCAATGTGGTATCGACTGCAAACTTGGTATACTTATGTCATACCGATGACAATATTTATATTCTAAAAAAAATGTTTTTAACATTATTTTTTAGATCTTATGTTTCGGCTAATTGTCCACGCTCAACTGACGTTGGCTGTAAATCACCACGGTCCCCTTACGTCTTGGCGAGCTTCGGGCCCACTTCCTGGAGTCGCGGAGTTCTGTCATTACTAGTACGGTACATTTCATTAAAGCGTGTTTTAAAAAAAAACATTTTTAAATATTACTTCTTGCACGCTGAAGTCACCAAAAATCGTAACCCCCGATGCCACGCAGACACCGCCGCCACCAGAGCAACAGTCTTGACGATGGGCGCTCCGTTGCTCTGTGCAAATCGCTCCTCGCCGACTGCGTTCTAAGTTGCTGAGGCCGGGTTTTTGGCCACGTCAGGAGAATCGTGCCTCCGACTGAGCAGTGCGCCGGTGTTTTAATGCTGTTAAGTACGATTAACATCTCACCCGTATGACCATATGAAGCAATTGGCGGGACCCCGGGGTCCCATCACTGCCCCGGGGTGGGAAAAACCGCGTAGCGACACGAGTTTTGTTGCCTTACCGACAACAAAACTAGTGTCAATCGATTGGCCTCGTCGAGAGCTACTCGGGGCACTAAGTTTCGTAAAAAGTTTAAAAATTACATAAACACGTTAAATTCACTGCGGGGGCAGGCTCGCTTTGGCAAAGAAGCTGAGGATCGACGGCTGACCGGAGGGCGGTGTCGTCGCCGCGCGCGACTGCGGCGGACGCCCCCCGGGGCTCGCGTTTGGCCGGTGGGGTGGCGCCCATCGTGTCGATCGCCGCCTGCTGCTGGCGCTTGTTGGCGCGAGTCTGGGCGGGCGGCGCGTTGCTGTCGGGATCACGAGTGGGCGGACTGAAAAATATTATTGACCTGATTTTTGC